TTATTTTCTCTTGTAAAGTGTAAAAATTATGATCATCCTTCACCCATGTGGGAATGGATTGCAATGAAACGCAGGCGGGTAGGTAGGTGGGTGGGTGGGAGTTGGGTGAGGGTTACCAACAAAGGGTGAAGTCTGGTCTTGCTGATTCAAACAGGGTTCCTACACGTATATGGAAGTGGAAATGAACAAAAGAAATCACCAATAGAGGAACGATCGTACAATAAGAATTTGATGGTTTACTGGTTCAGGGTCAATAGAGAGTTTTGAGCTTGAAAGTAAAACCAATTATATGTATTCAAATTATTAAGAACTTTTTAAGAAAGTGATTTTTTTCAGATGTACTCGAGTGTCTTTTTGGGCTAAAAATTCCATCCAGTTTATCTGATGCATGGACACTGTATTATCTTTTTGACACTTGTATTCACTTTTTGTTCAACAAATTTTTAATGTGCGGTCAAAATACGAAAGGAAAAATCCTCCCTTGTGCCAACTTTCTTAGCTTTGGTTTTTGTCTACTGTTTGAAAATTTTGGCTTTATAACTGCTAAACGAAGCCTGTGTCTGGGCTGTGAGCAAAAATGATGATTCCAGTGTTTCACTGCACCTGCCATGATATGTCGAATATTTTTAAAAAGATATTTAAAAATAGTTGAAATGCTGAAAAATGATATTATTTTACAGTCACTGTAACAATTTAACAGTCATTAATGCATTAAAGTAAAAAAAGTACTGTTTAGCTAGCTAGCACAATTGTCAGTATCTGCACTAATGATGCTAACAACCAAATTCTTTTACAGTCAGGACTATTTAACACATAAATACCAAACAGGGCATTAACATTGCACATGTGATGTTAACGTTAAATGTTAATGCTCATGGGAAAAAAGCTAGCTAGCTAGCTAGTCGTAGCATCATTATCTGTGCTAACAACATATCCTCCGCTTGGCTACCAAATGTTTGGTGTCTCTACTCGTTTTCAGTTTTGAGTGCACCTGTTAGTGTAAATGTGAAGAAGTGTTTTGTGGTGCAAGAATACAAAATAGAAGCTAAATAGTTTAAAAGTAGAGTATTAAATAAGTTACTTCCCAGCAGGGAGATAATTCTCTGATGGTTTGTCACTATTTGAACAAATTTGCACTAGTGCAGGTTTAATGCTGAAGAGCAAAGTTTTCTTTTTAAAATGTATGGATTATAGACTCACAAAACCAAAGTACAAAGCCATAACATATTCCAGAAAGGAAAACAAAAACTGATGGACAAAAGGCCAAAACACCCCCAAAAGACAGAGGATGTCTGAACACTTGATAAGTCGAAGTTGTAGAAATCGAGGGTGGATTTTTCCTGTGTAGGGGCCCTGCTGAGACTGTCGACACTTTTGTTGTGTGGTTAAAAACGGGCTAAACTTGAGAATAGTGAACAGGAAGTGGACGCAAGACGATATAAGATTGTAATCCTGAAGTGAAGCCTCTTGGTTTGTGTCTCGCCTTCCATCCCTCTGCTCAGCCAGCTTTCCTCCACTTCTTCCTCGGCGTAGCGGACCTGACCTCTCTCACCCCTTCTCCCGACCTCCGATACGGTCCTTGAGCTGCGCGAGTCTTTTTCCTGCTGTCTGCTGGTCTGTAGTCGTCTATCAGAAACATTTTACTCTTCTCTTTCCCCAAATCCCCACACACCAGAGACAACACACATGCTCACAGATGCATAAATATCTATATATATACTGTATATGTATACATGAATACAAAACAGGCAAACCTCTGAGATGCCGAAGCTCGCACCCGCACCTGCACACTCTGTGGAGGTGCTGCAGGACACGTGTGCGTGTGTGCGTCTTCGTGTCGCTGATGCAGTTTTTCAAAAAAAAAGAAAAAAAAAAAGAAAAAGTACCAGTTTACCTCGGGAGCTCTCAGCCATAGCAGACCTTAATCCCCACAGATATCTCAGTGCTGCGAGCAGCTTCTGAACTGCTGTGGCTGCCGTTACAAAGCAGGTACATACTTTTTTTGTTTTTCAGGAACAAACCCAGGAGCCTCAGCAGAGCGCTCTCGGGCCATTTGAATGCATACAGTGCAGGGTTTTTACAGAAACGGGACACAAGCTGGGAGTCCATGTCAACACAGTCTTACCTCAGAATCATGCTTCAGAAACGGGGGCGGGGCTTACATATGATCATAGCAACCGTGAATGACTCTTTTTTTGTTTTTAAGTTTTATTTCTTGTCTCTGGTGTTGTTGGGTGAAAACAGTCTGCAGATCTTTCTTTTCTCCTTTTTTTTCTTCCACTATAAATATATAAATATATAAACTGTACATTATGACATAGAAGCACTATCAAAGTTTGATTGTTAGATGTGCACTCGCAGCATGAGGTATTATTCTTTATTATTCTTCATAGCCCAGAAAAAAAAGGAAAAGTGGAATGACAGCTTTTGGAAGTTTAAAAAAAATATATAAATATATAAAAATAACAAAAACAATGCAGTAGCATCTACTGATGTCAAAGAAAAATACCCAACCTCACCCCACCACACACACACCTCTCCCCACAGACCTTTACCCAAGCCCTGCCCCCTCTTCCCCCTGAACTCCATACAGATGATTGCCCAGATGCTCCCTCGAATCAGCCCCCACCCCCCACCCTGCTCTCCTTGTACATGCCAGTGTTTCCCTCATGTGTTCCAAGTGCCAATAACTTTGTGAATTCCTAACTGTGACCCAGTAATAAAGATAATTGCACATTAACTACTGTAAAGAGAAAAAGAAACCAGACTGATTAAAAATGAGGAAGAAATCTGAATATCTTAATAAAAGGTTTGTAACAAACAGGACTGACCTTACAGCGGCGTTGTGTCTTTATTTGCTGCTATTTACTTTTGTCCAAAATGCATCACCATCTGAAAAGGTGGTTACTTTAAAAACATGTGACCTCATTCAGTGTGACCACTACTGTATATGCAGGTCCCATGTTTATCATATTCACATCATACAAATAAAAACCTCATCTTTTACTCATAAAATGAGATTTGAAATTAGCTTTAGAGACTAAAACAATTTTTTTTGTACCAGGATGTAAACTTTAAGTTAATAATGGGTGTCACTGGGGAGCCTCAAGTGGTCATGAGAGGAACTGCAGACAGAAATCTGCACTCAGCTCAAGAGGTTACGTTTGGTTAGAAATAAGAAATAAAAGCAGAAGCTTGGAGTCTTAGGTAGTGAACTAACAGAAATGTGCTCCATCAAGTAAATACTTATTAGTAATATGATGTGAGTACTGGGTTTTGTGAGAGACTCAGCAAACAATTGTGCTAGATAATGTGAGAGAGTGCATCTGTAAAAGTGGTCGTTTTGAACTAAATGCTAGTCTGGGCATGCTAACAGCGACAGTAACAAGATGCAGATGTAAAACCTACAGTTTATGACATCACAACTTGCTCTACCAGAGGTCAACATCCATGATTATTTACTGTTTTTCTGCTGTGTTTTACTTCTTAGTGTTGTCTTTAAATGAAACTGAAATGAATAAATAGTTTCCCAGACACAGCAGAAGATGTGCTGCCATTGGGTAGTGAAACATACAATAATTTATTTTCCCAAAACTGCTAATGAAGTCAGTTTTACACTGAACTTTTAAGCAGCGGGCAAATAAAACACACAATCATGTGATTGCCTATGGCGCCCCCCTGTGGTCAACTGAGGGAGGAGGAAAAATAACTGAGTTTATCTGCACTCTTTGATGTGTGATGTGCGCCCACAGATGTGCAAACCACTTCTTTCTTCAGAGAACACAGCCTTCACAGCTGTTCTATCCCTCAGCAGATCCACACACTTGTCCAGTGGCTAAATTAAAACTGTCACAGAGGTGTTGTGTAACACAGTGAGGCCTCTGAAGGGGAAGAGTCGATGCAATTCGCTTTAGCTGCATTTAGTTGAGCAGGCATGGAGCACACTGGACAGACATAAGTTTTCTGGCCTTCGCTGTACTCGTCTGAAAATGAAATTCAAGTTGCGGGGTGGAGGTTTGAACGCAGTCCAAGGGGTCAACTTTATTACCACACGTCTTAAATAAACCCTAAACTAAACTCATTACGCCACAGAAATGCTCCACACCTTATTCTCCAACAAAATTCAGTTGTTTGCACACATTTTATGAACATAGGGCTTTTCCTCCTTATTTCTTAGGCAGCCTTTTGAAAATAAACATGAATTCAAATAAACAATCTTAGCAGCAACTGCCCCAGGATGCACCTGAAGTGGGAGGAGGCCTTTGTGTGCACAGGTAAGCAGCTGCACCCCCCAAAATACACAAACATGAGGCGCAATGCTTTTTATTGCTCGTTGTCATGGAAATACAATGATAAATAGCAAGTGCTATTGTATGTTTAATATTGCAGGCTGGTGGAAAAGCATCTGGAGCTGCACTTATACACATGAGATGGACATGCACTTCTTACAGTGGAAAGAACAGGCACAATATTTTTCTTCCTAACATTGAAGTGTCCCATTTCCTGTGGTTTTTTTTTTTTTTTTATGTAAGTTCTCCCAGTTGATAAATAACACCATCTTGAAAGGTGGCTTAGCATTTGTCACAGAAAAATGTGCTCACAGTTTGAGCAGCTTCGGCTTGACTAATAAAACCCATCAGCTCCTCTCCCAGTTTCACAGGATGTCTGAAACACGCACGAACGTGTCGGTCTCCCGACTGCCGTCTGGTTATTTTAAGAGATGTGTGCAGTTCACAGAGCCTCCGGGGAGTAGCAGCACGCTCCTCGCAGTTAAAGTAAATGTAATTTTACATAATGATGGCCGTGTGGCTCTCAGAATAACACGCAGGGATGTTTCCATTTTGCAAAGTGCTTCTCAATTAAAACTCAAACATCTGCAATCCAGTGAAAGCTTTTATCAGAGGAACAAATCACAAGAGGGAAGCCAAACTGCCATCCTCGAGACACACAGCCGAGATGCCGAGCGAGCACCTCAAAGAAGATAAACACTCAGGATGTTATTCGGTCATTTCAAGTTTAATGAAACTTATAACCACAATCAGCAATTTTAAAAAAAAATCTCTGGATGCCAGTAACAGAACAATTGTGTGATTCACTTTATGCAGTTTGCTTTTTCCCTTCACTTGTTCGTCATACGGTATATAGTGTATATGACAGGAAAAGTTTACACTTTGTCACCAATGTTGCCCTTTTTTTCTTTTTAGCAGAGGCAGTAAAAACACAATGACATACTCAAACATCATGTGTGAAAAAGAGGACACGATGGCTACCAGTACTGTATTTTACACATTTACATCCAAAAATCCAAAACATACTCGTTGTAATAGCTGGTCATTCACACAGAATAAATACAAATGTGACCTTTGGCACTTTGAATATTTACTTTCATTAGCAGTTTTGAACCAAAGGTTAGTAAAAACCACTGACGTAATCGTGTTTAAACCTTTAGCCATGCTGCTTGTGTGGCTGATATTTTAACTCGTGCCATCCACCTTTTGATACTCTGAGAGGGCAACAAAAAGTGACTTAGAGCTCAATCTCCCCAGATCCTAATCCCCCAGACTCCCGTTGTCCATGCCACGATGAGTCAGAGCTGATTTGACAGCACAAGGGGGTCTATGTGATATTAGGGAGGGGGTCCTCATACTGTGGCTGATTAGTGTAAATGTGTGCTAGATGGAGTTCAGCACTGATATTAACTGCAGTTATTATAATCTGAAATAATCTACTGCTAGTACCATTAAAGCTGCATTGGGCAAAAGCCCCTCCCACCAGAGGCACACGGGTGTGTGCGCTTCATTTGGGTTAAAAACAAGACAACATTGAGTTGTGGCTTCCCACAGGACTCACACCCTTTTCTTCCAAGTCCCCTGCTTAAATCCAGTAATCTCACAGAAGTCCACCACATTCCACTTCTACACAGATTTCATTCCTCCTGTCCCTTTCCTCACTTCCTTACCCCCGTGTGTCCTGATGGCACAAAACACAACTACAGGACGTGCACGGATCCAGTCTCTTCTCTGACTACCTGCAAGTTATAATACGCTGTACAGTTATTTTGGAGTAATGAACCAAAACCATATCATCTAACCCAGCTTTAAAAACCAGGATCGGTGGGAGTGATCATCTAATACTTCAATTTGCACAGATCAGATTAGTTAACAATGACCAACACACTGAGTGCTGTAATTGCACAATCAGCTTTGCAATCAATTCAGCACCATCACTATATGAAACCTGTCAAGCACCTGTCTGATGTGCCGTTACATTATAATCATGTAAAAACAATTCCCAGGTTTAAGTGAAACAGTAAAAGGAAGCTCTCTGTTCAAAACCCTTCTTGTGCCTTTACATTCATGCGCCTCCGTGTTGTTTCAGACTGACACATTTCCCGGTTTTTGAGCTACTTGCCCTTCTGAAGCTGGGACAAGAGCTCACATTAACTTACACAAAGCTCTGGCAGTAAAGGTGCTTTCAGCCTTACCCACTCCTGCAACAGGCAAAGGCACCTGACCTCTGACCTACAAAACAAAGAGTTCATTTTCTCTGTAACTGGGTGATTAAAGCTTGAGTGAAGATATCTGGATCACACAGGATTAAAAATCAGATGCTTTGTACAAGAATAATTTCCATTTACACACAAAAAGCAAGTCGAAGCATTTACACAGTGCTGCAACACACCTCAGTGTGGGTAGTGCTGCCTGACGTGACACAAAAGAATAGAAATGAGCCTCAGGCTCCAGCAGAGGGAGCTCTAAGCCTAAATCTAGGCTGTGTGGGGACATCCTGCCCAGCAACTATTCCTCTGCTCATTAGCTGAAGCTTTTCAATAAAAAAAAGAGAGGCAGAGCCATTCGCTTGAAGCCAAGGTTTTCTCTCTTCAACCAGTGAGGGTAACAAAGCCTTAGCCAATCGTGTGCTCAAATGTCTGCGGGGGTGCGAAGGAAGGTGGCCTTTGCCTCTCTGTGGCAGATCACTATCAGAGCAGGAAATGAATCATTTATGTCTGCTGAGTAAAAGAGACTCGGAATGAATCTGACAGGCAAAACCAGGATCCATAAGACACACACACACACACACACACACACACAGCTCAGCAGCACTTTTTACTAAACTCTTCATCAGTGGAGGGAAAACCTGCACACCTGCCCGATGCTGATTACTGCTAGTAAGGAGTAAGCTCCCAGCATGATTTACATCTAGGCACACAAACAAACTGCACATTTCAACATGGTATAAAAATAGATTTAAGGCAACACTGAAAATCCTCCCCCATGCTACTGCTGTTGGCTTAAAACGAAGCGAACTTTAGCAGGTTTGTGATTTTAACCCAACAGGAGCAGTCCTCCCCGAGTCCCTCTAACTCCAATGATAACCAAAATGCATCAAAATAAAAGACATAATACCACCAGGGTCCCCCCCCCTCCCCGTGCTAAACTGTGCTGCTGAGAGACCAGCAGCACCCTCTCCACTAGAATGGCTGAAGTGGAGTGGAGGATCCATCCTCGCTATAGCCTGCAGATCACCAGCTTCCCCTCAGCACAAAGAAAGAGAGTGATGGGAGGGGCTCTGTAACCGTCCAGCCATCCAGACAGGGAGGAGTCTGTGAACGGGGTCGAGAGGTCATAGACTGCTTATGTCAGAGTGCGAAGAAGAGGATGAGGACCACGATTAGGATGGCGACCAGGACACCGATGGCACACCACTGTCTCCGACCTGATGGGCACAGCACAGGACATCATTGCGCTACAGTGTCGCAGAGCTTAAAACGACCTTAGGCAGCATAAAATATTACAGTAAACACACCGCTCTTTTTTGGAAGAAACTCAAGTTTTTGTCAGGCTTATTTTCTTTTTCCAACTAGCTTTGTGTCTGATTGGACTACGACTGATGATTGAGAGCTGATTCAAGTACCCAGCATAATACTGAGGGTCACACAGGAAATGTTTTGGCCTTTTAGCGCTTCCCCTTCCTGTTTCTTCATTTCATTTCTGTTTTTACACGCTGCTGTGGTTGCTGTCACTCTTTTTGACACAAGCTGTGTTCCTCACAGTTTTGTCTGCTATAACAGACAGAACAGGGGAGATGAAATGAATGAGAAACACTCAACGCTAAACAGCATTGCAGAAACTGGAACTGGCAGATAGGCTAAACTTTGAGAGCAATGTTTCAGGGTCTACAGAGTCACAGTTAAAATGCACTTCTCACAGCCCGCACTGACTGATTTAATTCATAAATCAGGCAGTGTCACTTTAACTAAATTAATTGAAGGTAAATTTTCTGTGAATGTAGAAAATATAACTGCTTGTGTGTAAACTCACTGCTGGTCATGTGAGACACTTTCTCCAGCTTCTTCAGCACAGAGTCCATGCGGGACGATGTCTGGTCCATCTCATCTCCAAAATCCCCCAACATCCTAAAAACAAAACGAGCGATACCGCGAGAACTTTAACATCAACGTCTGCACATCGTGACCTCACAAAGGCCTGGCTGTTGCAGGGATGTGGACGAGATTATAAGAGGATCAATGAAAAGTTGCCTTTGCGATTAAAAGGCATATCATCTTAATTTTAGGCAAAACGACAGGCTTTTGAGAAAGATCAAGACCAAAAGATTTGACCTTGGTCTTGATCAAACTGGACTGCGGCTCAAGACATTTGTAGTTTCAACAAATTTTGGCGATTTGTTTTAAACATTTGCATTCATTACAGCGAGTTACAGCAGGCTTTTGATAGGACATTATTATATAAATGGACAAAGCTGTAAAAAGTTTAGTGGAAGAGGTGCTTTTCGGTGATGTTGGACACACCCGAGCCTGTAATCCAGTCAGGATTTAGATCAAGTACATCAAACAAAAACCTGAACCTGGTTTAGACTGTCAGGTGTTTGTGTGTGTGTGTTCAAAATCCACAATCCTGAAGTGCTGCTTAACATGGATGTAAACACTGTGGGGCTACGAATGCATTCAGTATTCAGTCCTAACTCAGCGGTCACACATGTGACATTTTTTATAGGCATCTAAAAAAAAGAGCATATGATGACTGGGACACACCTTTATGTGTTATTGTGTTTTCTCAGCCAACTGAGGAAAAGCTCTCAAAGGTGTGCATGTGTACTCACACGGCCTGCTCATCGAGCTCGTCTCCGATCCGTCCAGACATGTCTTTGAGGACTCTGATACTGCCCGACACCAACTCCAGCTGCTCATCCTGCTCCTGCATGATCAACTACACACACACATACACACACCCATCACTTCAAAGGACAGACTTACATCTCTTTACTGAAGGTTTTCCATAATCCTTCAACTAACCTGAACCTAATCCTAGCCTAAAGATCTTCACCCTTAGATGTAGACGCCAACACTTGTGGGGATACAAGAAAGACATACAGGCCGTGAATGTGTTCCCGGTAAAGTTTAGTTACTTTTTATAGTTTGCTCTCTTTTAAATCACATTTCTGAGGAATGAAAATTGCAGAGAGAACCAAAGAACCTCCATTAGCACGTTTTCCACCCGCAGCGAGAACACAGAGGTCTGAAACATCACAAATCATTACTATTTTTTTCTTTCGTATATTGTATTTTCTGTTCTATACCACATTTAAATGAATGTCTTTGGACATATGAGCTCTCATTGAGAGAACAACTGCCCCAACCTCCAAGACGCAGCCCCCCCCCCCAAAGATTCACTCTTGTGTCAGAACTGACTGATTCTTTTCCGCTGCCTCTCTTTGGTCTGGATGTCATTGCTGTTTCCATACAGAAATACCAGCTTAAAACCAGCACACACACACTGGTTCAGCCTCAGTCACTCACTGCTTCTGACCCACTCTTGGTACAGATTTACAGTATTGGGAATTATTGAAATTCTATTTCCCTGCTTGGTAAATCTGAACCTTTAAAAAACAAACATGTTTTTTGTGTCTCAGTGAACAGTTTGTATCGAGGGTGCTTCTTTTCAGAATCTCTACACTAACCGTTTAAAGAAAAAAAAAAGTGCCACTAAATCATATCATTGAACCAAATCATACACTGCTACAAACCCCCCGCAGTGATGTCAACGCAGAGGAGACCACATCCTTGCTGAGGTAATGAAACAAAAGGTCAAACTTTTCTTTCATTAAAAAAAAAAGACATGAAGAAACACTATTTCTTACTAAATACCACAACTTGACACAGGATGTGAGATCACACACTTTCATCACCAATATCAGCGCACACCGCAGGAAGTAGAAACCCACAGCTCATACTGTCTTTCACTTCACTCACAGTGTGATACTTTGCAGCACGTCTCCTTCACCTCACTGCTACGCTGCAGCAGCAATCCTTCACTGACGAGCTTATCTTTCACTCCTTCTGTGTGATCCTTTGATTAAAGCTTTCCTGTCATCTATCACATGACAAACAAACAAAATATTCTGATGGGACTTTTCATGAATCCTCGTTTTACATGTAATCATTTGTCACAAAACAATATCTCCTTTAGTCCCTTCCCTTTTTTCTTCTCATGCTTCCCCCATCTGAGGCTTTTGCTTTCCTCTTTTTTGGCTCTACATCTGTTCAGTTTCAGCTGGTCTCTTACCTGCTGTTGCTCCTGCTGCTCCTGGATGTATCTGGAGTTTGCAGACACCAGATGAGCCTCCAATCCTGTTGACCTGTCCTGGCCCGATGAAGTCAGCAGAGCCTGGACAAACACAGACACGAGACTCAGCCTTTGCAGAAAATTGGGAGTGTACGTGTATGTTTGTGTGTCTGTGTGCTGTAGGAGTTTCCAGAGGAGAATTATTGTTGGAATAATAGGAGTTTGACAGCTTTTCAAAACACAAGATGGTGCAGTTATTCATTTTCTGTGGCAGATGGAAACTGATCTGTCTGTCAGCGCTTCACGAAGCAAAGACCAAAAAATCCTGAATAGGGGCAACAACAAACGGCTCTTTGAAATGTGTTGTTTTAAAGTTACAACAAAAGCGAGGATTTCTCAGCTAATGTAGAGCAACTTTTGCAGTAGCATTGTGCTCCATTAATATAGCTCGTGCCTTATCATCAATAGAACAAAAACAAGAAATCCTCCATGATAACGGTGTCCATGTGAACTACAGCGAGGCTCGTTTGTAAGGTGCGGCTCGTGATGAATGAATGGGCATAAAGAACATAATAAACTGAAGTGAAGGGTCAGGTCCTCTCTCTCATAAAACAAGGTTATTGAAAGTAAATATGAAGCTCCAGCAGCCAAAGTTAGCAGTGGACTTCATTTACTACCAGGTTCATAGAAACCTTCTTACTTTCTTCAAAGAATTAGCACACATGTAAAACCAGCACATTTGTGATATTTGGACACTGGCAAATTTTGTTTCCTGTGTGTGCCTGTTCATCCTGTTTTCAAAGTTTAAGAAACTAATAGAGTAGAAAGAAAAACAGTAAGAAAAAAAACAGCAGGACCAGAAGAAGGAAGCAGAAAAATGGAATTTCATACTAAAAAAACATTTTTACACACTGAGAGAGCAGACGCCTTACATCAGTGTAACAAACTTCAGTCTTATGTTACCAAAAAGGCAAATTGTGCAAACTTTTAGTAAATACAGCTATGAAAACAATTTAAAAATCCTAGGTGAGATTTTTCACGATTTATTTTGTGTGTTCGAAAGATTTTTTGGAGAAGTTGACCTTAGACCTTGAGGTCCAGGTCACTGAGATTTAAACTCATCTGAGATCTTTAGTAGCTGCACCTATGACATGAAGTTCAAAATCCTACATCACCTCATTCTCGAGTTATTGTATTCTCAAACCTGGGAGTTCGGGTCAAGCACCTGCTCACCCAGCGGGTGACAATACCCCATCAGCCTTTTACGGCTGAAGGGTAAAAACTGAGGTGAGAAAGTAAACGGAAATGCAATGTAGGATTCAGACAATCACAATAGCTTAGTCATATTTCTAGGGAAGTGTAGCTCAGATTACAGGAGCAGATTTTTACCTGGTCCTGTGCACGACAGGTGAAAACAGATGGTGTAGATGTAGAAGTACGCTAATTTGGAGTTCCACAATTCAGACCCTGTACCTCAAATTGCATTTTACCCAGTAGTGTGGATATATATATATATATGTTATGTGTACACAGTGTGTGTGTTTTGTTTTATGTTTACATCTTCACCAACCTGTCTATTCTTCTTCTCTGCCTGAGCCACAGCAGAAGGGCTGGACAACTGATCCTTCATGTCCTATACAGACACACACACAAAAAGCAAAACACAAATAATTACACCTCTCATTTCACAATTTGTCCCAATAGCAGCAGAAAAATCCTTTTAAAAGCTGCCTCAGTGCAGACATGTTCATTAATGAGATTTTCTGTGCTGCTCCAGAATCGCTGTCAGGCAAATCGAAATGTCAGAAAGTCTTTTGTTCCTTCACAGCGGAGCTCTTCTGTTTGGCTCCGGTGACTCAGTTCTCCAGGCCTATTTTAAGAATGCCACCTTTGCCGTTAAGTCGTAATAAAAACTGACTCATGTTTTCCATTGTGCCTACAGCTTGGACACTGATTTAAATTCATTAAAAGTCAGGAGCTCAACAGCTGCAGCGCGGTTAAATATGTCGACAGGTAGAAATAAACTGTGTATGTGGTTACAATAGAAACAGGGAAAATGAATAAATAAGTCCTGCTCGGCTTTGGGAGCTGCTGCTTTGACTAATGTTTGACTTTGCCTCTACTTTATTGGTAACACTGGAGCTGCAAAGACACAGCGGAGGCCTTCCAGGGAAGCAGCTGTCTGCGCTCCATCAAGAACACTTGTAGCTACTGGAAACCGATTTCAAAATAAAACATTATACCCTCAGCGCAGGTATAAGCTAAAGCTTGTTAATTAAAATCAAATAAGAATAGCTTGTTTTTAATCATTATTATTATAATACTAGATGAAAAATATTCTTTTGAAAAAGGCTTCTGATGGATCTGGGAGTACTACGACTTCTGAACCATTTATGAGATAAGGTCTAGATCACCTGACGCCAAGGAGTTTTTGGAAAACCCCACTGAATGATTACTCAGTGTGTTCAAAATAATAAGTGTTTGTTAGTCATACTGTGTTTGTGTGTAAATATGTTGCAGAAGATTAGAGCACAACTTATGAGTCATCAAAGCAAAGAAAATACTGGTAAATCTAGTTTCTCATTTTCATTTAGATAAGGGCGTTATGTTTAGGCAAGAGTGAACAATAACTCTGAAATTACAAAAATTTGGACAGTGAAGTACATTGCTCAAAAAAATTAAAGGAACATTTAAAACACATCAGATCTCAACAAGAAAAAGAAAAAACTTGCTGGATGTGGGTTTATACTGATACTGGGTATCATGTTAGGAATGAAAGGACGCCCCATCGTTTGATGGAAATAAAAATTATCAACCTTCAAAGGGCTGAATTCAAAGACGTTCTGACAAACCATCACTAACCCACCAGCAAACAGATCATGCGGAACGACGTTACAGGCAGCGTAATGTTCTCCTTGGCTTCTCCAGACTCTTTCACGTCTGTCACGTGTACTCAGGGTGAAACGCACAGGGTGCCAGTGGTGGAGTTGCCAGTTCTGGTCTTTTAAGGCAAATGCCAATCAGGCTCCACAGTGCTGGGCAGAGAGCACAGGACCCACTAGACCACATCCTGCACCAGGCCACCCTCATGATTGTTTGGTCAGAGATATTCACACCAGTAGCCTGTTGGAGGTCATTGGAAGCTCTGGCAGTGATAATCCTATCCCCCCTTTTCACAAAGGAGCAGATACTGGTTCTGCTAATGTGTTACGGACCTTCTACATTCCTGTCCAACTCTCCTAGAGTAACTGCCTGTTTCCTGGACACCACGTCTCCACCATGTTCGTCAAACTGTGCTGGGAGATAGCAGAACGTCTGGCAATGGCTCATATTAATGTACCACCCTGGAGGAGCTGGACTATCTGTGCAACCTCTGCAGTGTCCAGGCTCACTTCATACTTCCAGTAATGACACTGACCGTTAAAAAATCTCAGCGTCCTCCACCTCCAGTCCTGTTTTGGGGGTTGTCTCATTGTTGCCCCTCTAGTGCAGCTGTTGTTAACTTCGTGAACATCAAAGCAGCTGAAACTGATTAACAACCCCGCTGCTACTTAACTGACCAGATCAATATCCCACAAGTTTAAATGACTTGATGCTGTGCTCTGATTAAAGTGTTCCTTTCATTTTTGTGAGCAGTGTAACATGTTGGATAATAAATATTTTGTATTCAAGGGTAAATACAGAGATTTTTGACAAAACTCCAGATCATCATGTTTAAGCAGATATCACTTTATCAGGTACACCTTTGAGACTTAAAGCAACCGTATCAAATAGCTCTGCTATAAATTAAGAAGAGGACAACTATGTTGTTTCATCTACAATTTGTCAACTGCAATGTTTTATTCATGTTTATTGAGCACACAACAAAAAAAAAGACCACAGGACTTGATGTCTGAATATATAAGAGTGTGGAAACAGGGAAAAAAAAACAAATTCAGGTTGAAGTTACCTGGACAGACTTCCTGGTTCGCTCCACAAAATCTTTCCTCTCCTGAAGTTCATTATCACCCAGTCTGAACTTCCCTGGATTTGACTCCACGATGCCTGAACCAGTCAAGGACCCACCAACAAAACGGCTCAATCAGTGCTACACCTCTTACAAGAGTGATACATGGTACTTAACGCAAACCTTGTGGAGAATTTCACAAACGCAAAGATAGCACCAAAATCAGATGTGGCGGCTGATTCATACATGAATGTTCAGGTGACCACTGTCTAGAGACAGTTTTGGTATGACTGCTGTGCAATTACACCTGCTTCTAGAAGGACTTGTGTTATGGTGCTGACCAGGTATTGCATTAAATTTCAGGTATTCTGACAACCTCTTGACTCCCTGGATTCATTTCACACTTATTAATCCGTCTCCATCAGTGATGACAAAAACCCCACAAGAAGTTCAGGCATTTAATAAAAGCTTGCCTTCTCTTCTTTTCCATCAGCAGTGTTTCCTGATATGTTCCTAAGTGCTGACAGCGACTTTTCAAATACTTCTATGGTAAATTATTATGTAACTAAAATGGTTCCAGTTTAGGAGACCAATCTGATTAAACAGGACGAAAACAGGAAGACAGTGTGCACAAAGAACTTGTTTGTTTTAAAAATACTGCTCATCATATGATGACAGTGGCATTGTGGGGCATTAGGAAGCCATTTGTTCATGCTTCAAGGATACTGATGGTTTCACTGAGGTCCTCTAGGTCCCAGTCTATGGCCCTCAGACAGTTTCTCAGTTCGTTGGCGCTCCAGTCTAGCTCATCTCGACTCACCTGAAACAAACAGACCCGGGGCAAATTTACTCATCCAAAGGTGTCAGAAACACTGGCATTGATTATTTTACAATTTTCTTTTTACAATTTTCTTTTTGGCCAGAGGGGCCGATGGCGCGATGTGGCAGCCTCGCTTCTGTCAGTCTGCCCCAGGGCATCTGTGGCTGCACCTTTAGCTTGCCTCCATCAGTGTGTGAATGTGAGACTGAATGAATAGTGGAATTGTAAAGTGCTTTGAGGGTCTTGAAAAGCGCTATATAAATGGATTCCATTAAAGCGCAGCTCTTAGAGCTGATGCTTTCGCACATGACACATTATCGAACGTTACATTGTGTGTCATGGATACTGTTGACTCCAAATCTCCCGACCACTATGTCGATCAGAG